TTGCCTTCAGTTCAGTAACAGAATACTTTCACGCTTAGAAACAATCTATCTAGAGCCACAGAACAGCACTGGTTCACGCTTTTCTTTGTAGAGAACCCCTCGTGTGCTTCCCGTCCGAAGGGGTCATTTCGAAGCCGAATCTACCATCACCACCAACAAACAAGCAACAGTCCAATGTCGAGAAGACAGACACAACTACAAAGTCGCTCAGCATTGTCCGGTCTGGGCAATGGCGTCAGGTCGGCGAACTTTTCTTGGCATTTGGACTCACCTCACTGGTGGGTCTCGAAAGACAGCTGCGCGGCAAAAGTGCTGGTCTCCGCACCCATTCGATCGTCGGAATAACGTCAGCTCTCATTCTCCAAGTGAGCAAGTACGGTTTCGAAGATGTCATCGCCGAGGGTAAGATCGTGCTTGACCCGTCACGAGTTGCCGCACAAGTTGTTTCGGGCATCAGTTTTCTCGGTGCCGGCTTGATTATCACTCGTCAAGCGGCTATTCTCGGCTTGACAACGGCCGCTTCAGTGTGGACAGCAGCTGCCATCGGTATGGTGGCGGGCTCCGGACTTTGGCTGTTGTCGCTCGTCGGCACTGGCCTTCACTTTATCATTGTACTCGGCTTTTTGCCGCTCGAAGGACGACTGCCCGTTTTCGGTCCTAAGTCTAAATCTCGAGGACTGGCGGATGATGAGACGGAGGATCGTGAGACTGTTTGAAGAGACTTGTACATATTGCACGCTGAAATAGAGTTTGAATTTCAAACACCATACTAGTTTTAGACGTTACTTTGCTTTTCGTTATTTTATGTTGATTTTGAATTTGTTTAACTGAGAATTCAAAGAGGTAATGGAGACTTGTTGGAAATTTATTTGAAAAGGACGATGCTTGAGGTAATAGAACCGAATTACGATGTACAATACGTGTATTACACATGCAGTGTAGGATATAATGTTGTAATTTCAATGTTATAATGAAAGAAACATTAATGTATGGAACAGTAATCATGCATCAATATTTCCCAGATCAGTTACGGTATTGTCGACTGTTACAGTGCATTAGATGGAAGAAATATGAAAGAAGCATGTATACCAAATACAATGATAGGCTACAATTCTCAAGGTGAAATACTTAATAATAATTCGTGTGTACAGTATCAACGTTTGTGTAATGTTTGGTGTAAATATGGCAAAGACAAGTCATTGTGTTTTTATAAACGAAAAAGTAATGTTTCATGTGATGTTTTATGTCTGAATCATAAATGTGAACTGAATTCTCGTTGTGATAGATAGTGTGATTGTCCATATGTGAAGGTAATAAAAGATTTAAGAAAGATCAAAACTTTCTGTAGGGAGCAATAATCTATCCCCGTCATTAACTTGAAAAGGCATGTTGCTTCTTTCCCATACTCAAGTTAGCCACAAAGACAGCATTTACGTACATGCCATTCGTCCAGTTAAAATACGAGTAGCCAGCAGGAATTTGACCATTGTACGATTTATTTGAAATATCGTCGAATGTAATTAAAACGTTAACTAAACAAACGCAAAAGTTAGTGAAAACCAAAACCTCGTTTAAGAATAGGTGTGTTGAATAAAAAAACTCAAAGGAGTTGTTTTCGCGACGCAACGGTCTAGTTGTGGAAAACTGACTGTTAAGAATTTCAAAACCGTGTGTTTCTGCAGAAGAATTGCGACAAACAAACATCCGCATCCAACATCTACAAGCGGATAACCGAGAATGGCAACCGTTAAACCCCAGTTTTTAATATCTTTGGGGTGCAGAGTGTTTTCTCTATCGGCAGCGAGAGATGAAAGGTCCTTGAATAAGTTCATCTTTCGCGTGCTGCTTATCGATAGGGTTCACCTGTACGATTTGCCAATAATAAACGTGTCTTTATGCATGCTAAACATTTTCAGCTCTCCACAAAACAAATAGTTTAAAATAGTTCACAAGCAAATCTTTCTCTGAATGAAATCTAAGCATTATTTTCGAAACGAAAAGTCCTTACTATAATGATTATTTCTCATGCAAAATTTTGTTGATGAGTCGGTGCTGTCTGTGTTTGTTTTACTCAAATTCTTCGTAGACTAGTTTCACCAGCATGACAAAATAGTCCTATCCAAGAAGGTTTTTAGCACTGCAAGAGGTTCCCTCGTCAGTTCGTTTGCGCCCTTGTACTGTCGTATATATAAAAACATAATGTGACTTGCAAAAAGGCAAAAATAAGCAATGGTTTTTTTCACAATAATGAAAAGGTTTTCAAGGTACAAAATCAATATTCTTTCTCGTCCACACGAGCGAACGAACTCTTTCTAAATCAATCAAGATTTCTGATCGTGATCTACGTAGATCTCGCAGGACTCTGCAAAAATTTTGTAAATGATAAGCGCACTTGGTGATAAGATCGTGGTCGTTGGTGACACTAGAGAAAAAGGAGTGAAAGCAGAATGACATCTTTCTCTTCTTCCTACTTATTTTTCTTATTTAACATTTTAACAATCAGAGGTGGCACAATGATGACAGTTAGACATACCAGGGTTAGCAGAATTGTAAAACTGCCGTATCTGTAGAAGAGAAAGACAAGTGAATTCAGGCTTCGCGCATAGACTACACACTTACTTGAGAATCTTTAGTCGATCCATACCAGCAAAGGTTTGGGCCAAAGTCAAAGCCACCTTAATTTCTATCTGCCTAGCAGACGAGATGTTCTTCAGTATTGTGTGCTTTTTCTTTCATCCTTGTCAGCCGAATTGAAACCAAGCTTCTCGTCGATCAATGTCTTTGTGAAATGATTTCGAAAGGCTTTGAAAGAAAGAAAAGTAGTGCTTTCTCGGATTTAGAAAGAAAAACGGCTTCTGTTGATTTTCAGGTTCGATGTACGAATAAATCTTTTTAAATTACATAAATAATGCTCGTTCTACCTCATGAACAAAAAATGAAACCCTTTAAAAATCTTATTTTGTTCGAAAAATCGGTCTCGGTGGACGAAGGCGAAAATTTTTGATCGATATTTCTCAATCCAACACTTAAGGTTTCTTATATAATTCGGTGCAGTTTCACGAGCTGATTTCGAATATGATCTTATGTTTTCTTAAAAGTGTTCCTGGGTTGATAATAATGACTTTTAATTGAAAACCATGGATTTTCGGAAAACCTATAGCAAGGTTCAGGTACGACCACGCTGTTGGGCGATAAAACCATAGATGCAGTATAGATAGAGAAATATTTGTGCAAAGTTTGTGCGAGATTGAAGCTTTGGAAAAGTTTGGAAACTCCCTGAACCGAAGGCATGTTTTCGGAAATTTCGCTAGATGGGAAACTACTTTTGTTTATTCACACGTTTAGGTTCAAATGTAAAATTCCTTCGCTAATCGATAGTTGAGAAAGCCAAGGTTAAGACTGTGTGTCGCTTTTAGGTTCAAGACTTTTCCTAGGTTTCTAAGCACATGGAACAAGAATTTTTATGCCATTAAGTAGCCCATATACTGATGTGCATTTGCTGCTATTTGAATCTGGGAAAAGTACCTTTTCGCTTTTTCCCCAATCCCTCTGGATGCACATCGTCGTTGGCTAGTGTGTCACATAACTTGTGATATAGTCTACTTAAGACTGCATAAGGCGTTGAAATGTAGCCGGTGCATTAGTTAAACCAAACGGCATCACGGTGAATTGAAATAAGCTATCGTGTGTCACAAATGCCGTTTTCTCCTTACTTTTCTCATTGAGCTCTACTTGCCAAAAACCTGAACGTAAATCTAATGTGCTAAAATATTTGGCTTCATGCAGAGCATCGAGAGTATCGTCTATCCTAGGTAAGGGGTAAACATCTCGAACGGTGATCTCGTTCAACCGCCGGTAATCAATACAAAAGCGCATGGTTCCGCCTCTTTCGGCTGTAATGTTACTGGAGCTGCCCAAGGTCCAGTAGCAGGTTCAATGTTACTTTGTTCGACGAAAGTGAAAATGAAAATCACTCTGATAATGAAGATGAACAAGGCACGTATGTTTTCGGTGTTAAGGATTTTGCTAAGGTCCATAAAAGTATCCCTTCTCTTTTATCGGCTCAACACCGCTAAGCGAAGACTGCGAGATCCAACTTTTGAAGGGCTTAGATCTCTCCAGTGCTAAATTAACCCCAGAAGAAGAAAAACTTCTGAGGGAATTAATACTCAAATACTCCGATCTATTTGCGTCAAAACCCGGCCCTACAAATATTACGAAGCATCATATAGATGTTGGAGACGCTCATTCCATAAAGTTGCCTCCTTATCGGATTTCGCCTCCAAAAAGAGATTTTATCACTCAAGAGCTAGTTCATATGAAAGAACAAAATAAACAACATTTCAAGTTATTGGGTATCCACATTTACCAGAAGGTACAATATTTAGTGAAATTCTTATTCAAAATATATTTAATATAGAATCAGGGTGTTGTCTTCTCGTATCACCATTGTTTTGGGCATTAATCGTAGCATGTTTAGCTGTGATGATACTCATCATTATGGGCGCATTAAGATTTTTTGTAAAACGTCCAGGACGTCTTCAGATTCAAGATTTTATTTTCGGTTAAAGATTTTCTTTATTAAAAAAAGGAAAACTTAAAAACTAGATGTTAACTTAAAATAAGATTTTAAAATTATTAACAAATTTCGAAAGAAAAGGTTACACGTCAATTTTTGTAGCCTAGAAACAATAAACAATATATTATATTCAATTCACGAACGTTGTCAATAATCTTAGTTACCGGTAGGAAATTAATATAATTGATATTGTCGAGTGAACGAATTTTCTTTCTTTCGTATTTCCAGCGCGTATATTTTTGGAATACGAAAGTCGGGGGTGATGTAATTTGAAAAATTGATTTCATCAACAACTGTGGCGTACAATTTAAACAGTTGTGAAATACGCAGAGAAAACTAACTGCAGCCGTTTTACATATTTTTATCTGCTACTCTCTTTTTACTAGTTATAACTCCGAGCCTAACAGCTGTAGTTCAAAGATTACAGTAAAGGAATAGTAACGGATAATGAATGTGGATATGCAATAACTTGAAATGTTGTTTCTAATGCTAATTGAGATACATCATATACTGAACCAAGTGAACAAAATGATTCAGGTATACATTGAATATTGAAATTATCTGGATTTTTTTTTCTACCAGGTGGACAAAGAATCTAATCATTAATTCCCGTTTGATTGTTATATGTACTTGGCATACATGAATGTTTTGATGTAATGAATGGTTTTGATCCTGTATCGCTAACAGATGAATAGAAACCTTGCGGTGTTGGAACAAATATCAATACATTTCCTTCAGTATCAAGTAATGCTAATGATAACGGTGATGACACAATATTTAAAAATACTGAATCTAAAGTTTATAGTAATGTTTGATGATTATTAGAAAAAACTGATAGAGGCGTACTATTTGAATTATAGCCGTTCGTTTGAATGTCAAAGATAAAGATTTGTGATGATGACCATTGATAATTAACTGAATAAGTGTTAACTAACAGTTAATAGCAGCTATATTTTCAGTTTCTAACCAAGCTATACCTTTTTCATTTCTTAATGATCTACCATTCGTATTTCTACTTATAAACGTTAATTTAATTGGGTTTGTGATATTAACAGAAAATAAGAAAACTCTATTGATAAATTGCATTACAACTAAAACATCTCGACGTTCATTAATACTAATAGACATATCATATTTAGCTGAATAAAAATTACCATCAAAATGTGTCAAATAAATCTTGCCTTATACCATTTGTAGCAGTAGGTTTGTATTGATCAATAACGACTGGATGATGATTAGATGAATTAAAATTAATGAGATAAATTATTGGACTATACTTTATAATTGCATCTATAGCATTCTGAATAAATTCTGCTATGATACCAAAATTTTCGCTGATATCAATACTATGAGGCATAAATGAATTATCTGGCCAAGTTAAATTTTCATTCGATGATTCGAGAGTAGAAGTATTTTGTGAATTAAAAATAAAAATAAATTGATTGACAAACAACAAATGTTGGTGGATCATTTGCAGTTTGGGCTAGTATGAGAAGAATCTCATTCATAGCTATTTTTACACACTCTGCATCATAATCTTTTTTATTTGGAGTGAAAATACCATTTAGAGGATGAATAAATAATAAAATAAAGAAACAGACAATCATATGATGATTGCTATTCATGATTTTTTAGTCCTTTAAATGGACTTCAGGTATTTCTTTTGAGAGGACAAATAGAATTTTTAGTAGTAATCAATTTGAATCAAATATTATACGATGTTAATGAAGTTATAATGTGAAATCTAGAAGAAAAAAATATGAATAAGAAAACCTTGACATTTCTAATAAATATGCTGAGTGGACATCGAAAATTGTCATTCACATAGTGGGTTATTTTTTTTCTCGAAAGCATTTCTCTCCTGTAGCATCCGTATTTCACCTTCTTTACCAGTGAGAAAGACGTACGTTTCTCATTAGTGCTAGGTTAGCGTACAAGTTTGCATACCAATTCAACAAACTCTTTTTTATACGGAACCATTCATTACGAGAAAAAAAAACAATAGACGACATCCACAGGGACCTTGTGTATTCTGGTTTATGGTTAGAGCTAGAAAAAACTTCATGATTATTTGTAGCGCACTTTCTCCTCTATCGAGTAGCTTGATCTTTATCTGTGGGTATTTCAAAAAAGGATTTTCATAAATAATCATTTTTATGAAGATCCGTTTTTTCGTAAATTTGGTTACTTAATAGACAAGTAGAAAAAGGGCTTTCCTAAAATAAAATAAAAATACTTTTTGAATAAAATAAGTTCTTCTTGGTAAGTAGTTTGTGACGAAGTTTCTAGTCCGAGCGAATGTTCTAGATTTTCCAAGTGCATTAGTGAGTAGCAACGTGTTTCGTGATTAATATGTCTCGTTCCTCCTACTTTCAGTAAAATAGTGGTTCATAACTTTTCAACTAAGAGTTCTAGAGAGTTAAAAGATGTCTCGTTTTGACAGGCGAAACTCTAATCTACTGGAGCTGAAAACTGAGCAAAAATTTAGAAAATTATAGAAATTCAAAATTCTTTTTATAAAATTCATTACTCAATGGGAAAAGAGACTTCTGGGTCTGAACGAGTGTCAGTTGACAGAGAATATTTGGCTTTATTTGGGTATGTGTTAAACCCCAAAAGAAATCTTCCAGAAGAAGAATCAAGCATAAAATTTCCATAATCTAACCTTTAGTCTCAACGATGCTTTTAAAAGTTTGGCTTGTACACACCGTTTGACTCCTATGACACGTTTCTAGGCGTAAAACGGCTATCGAAATAAATTCTGTACTTAGACATCTGTGGTAAAGTTCTATCCATTCTTCATACGATGCTATATTATTTCTCTAACTCTGCATTAATCGTAGCACGTTTAGCTGTAATGATAATCATCATTATGGGTGTATTAAAATATTTTGTAAAACATCCAGGAGGTAAAAAGTTAAGCAAACTATTAAAATGTATATTTAAACAAACAGATGTAATTGGTGAAGGTGAATTATGGGTTGGTGGTTTAGCATCATTTTCTGTCGTTGCTTTAGTTAGTTTTGGATGTGCATTTAGTAATGGATATTTAAAACAATATCCACCAGAACATGCATCTGATTTAATGATGTCGAAATATCTAAACGTTGCCCATTTTCAATTGATCATTTTAGTTGTGATGAATCATTGTCTCATAAACGTTATTGTTCATGCAGAGATGGTCAATTTATCAGTGAAAAAGCTAGATATGATGAACTAATTATTAATGATCGTTGCTCAGATTTCAGAGATAAAAGCTTCATGTGTGATATAGGTCCATTTTTTGCAATGTAGATAATAGGCAACGGAAATTGCGTGGTTGATGGTGCTAATTTTAATCAGACAATTATTGTTTGTAAATTCTTACTGGCATGTTTATATACCGAGGATAAACAACATGCAGGATGTAGATGTGACGACTACATTAAATGTCGGGATAATCCAATAAGGTGTTTCACCGCTCATGGTTCTGTGATTCACGCTCAGTACATTGAATTATCCGATGCAAGAGAATCAGGAAAATCATGCTGCGTAGCAAATAGCGGAAAAATGAAATGTAATAAAGGATTATATGAGATAATTAATTTAACTGATAATATAGAATTCGAGGTGTTTTTTCAGTACGTTTTTAATATTGATACATTTGTTTGTAAATATCGAAATTACAACAAAAACCTGTTAGATGTGCATTACCATTCGTACTGTATCAATAATTCGAAGATATATTTGTGTCCCATACTAAACGTATGTATATCGTCTTATCATCTTCGTGATGGAATTATTGATCGTCATGCACTTTTCGGTGATGATGAAAACGCTGTTTGTACAACTTGTTAAAGATCGTTTTACATGTTCAGATACTGAACAAACATGCTTTTTACCAACAATGTTGGGTGGTATTGGAGGCGATTGTCTCACCAAAAATCGTGAGGAATATGATATGAAGTCGAATGTAAAATTATCCGATGTACAATGTTTAAATCCTCTTTCGAAAAATTATCAATATCTTTGGCAATATCTTGAACAATCATGGTCATTAATAGATAGCACTTCGTTAGCTACTAATAGTAAATAAATTTTTTTAGTTATTCTGATACATTTTGAAATATGAATTATCGTTTAGATGAAAGATCAAATGTATGTAAATATTGGATTTATCCACCTAATTATTATCAATTGCCAATCAGGACAATATGTGCCGGTAAAATGGGTCTGTGATCCAGAGAGGTTAGTGAAATATCGTGAAAATTAAGATCCAAAAGAGAATCTCTTAGACCTTATCGATTTTCTCGTTGCAATTACTAGTTAAATATGCGCCAAGTTTTCGAGGATTATTCTTTGTAGGAATGTAATGTAATGTTAGACTTACACTATGGCCGTTTTTACTTTTTGTTTGTTTGAGTTATCTCATGCTTATTCTCCAATCTGAATTCAGATGAAATTGTATATTGAAAGATAGAAGCTAACGGTTCAAAAGGCTATTGTGATTCTTATAATTTTTCCGTACTATAATCAATCATAAAGTGGACGTACCTTATCTCATGGAAGAAATGTGTTGACTTTTATCGAATCCCTTATCAGAGTTTGCATATGAAAGTCTTGGATACTTTTTTATATCTGAGTAGAGGAAAGTCTTGGAAATCTGACAGTATCTGACTATACTATCTCTTTTCTTTTCTCTCTTTGTTTTCTTCGAGGTATTCCTTCTGGAAAAATGATCATCGGAACAGAGTTGTACAATTTAATTTTGGCTCTGACGTTTTGATCATCAAGCTTTCCTTTATCAGCAAGTAATATGAATTTTTATCACTACCAGTAACTTCAAAATTTTTCCAATCGATTTTATGTCCGGTCTCAATCTCATGTTACACTAAAGAAGATTTTATCTTGACGACATCCTCATTCCCTATAGTATTTGCATCGTTAATCAGTAAAGATTGTGTACTACCCATGTAAGAAGGCATCTGTGACAGTTTTAACTATTTTTCTCGCAATAGATGTGATTGACGTAGAACTAAGTACGATTTAATAGTTTTTACTTTCTTTTCCTTTCTTAATGGACTGATCAAGTCTCGTATTTTTATTGCATCAACTATCTCAGCATCAGATCTTTCATCATTCATTCATTGAAGCCTCAGTTCGGTCCAAAAGAATTTTCGCCGAACTGAGACTTCAATGGATGAATGATGAAAGATCTGATGTCGAGATAGCTGATGCAATATTACTGTTACCAGTAATACGAATACATAGAAAATTACTGTTACTAGTAACAGGAATATATACAATATTTGTATTACTGATAACAGTGACAGTAATGTACCACCCCTAATCTTCAATTTATATCATATTCACATCTTAAAATGGTAAATGGTCATTCTGTTCAACTTCATAAGTGAACTTAATACTAGAATGAAATGTGTTTAAAATATTGATGATATTTTGTATTTCTGTGTTTTGTTTAATGAGAACAGTCGTGTCATTCACGTATCGTAACCATAACCGTATGCCGGCTTGTTCAAGTTGATTAGTGTTTCATCCAGATGAGACATAAAAATATCTGCAATGACTGCCGCAAGAAGAGAGCTCATCGCCACACCGTTATGTTGGATATACATTTTACTGTCAAATAGCAAATGTATTTCAGATGTTGCGGCTCGTAGCAGAGTCGCAAAATCTGAACGATCTCTACACATTTTACATTGTTTCGTTTTCAGCTTTCCTTGACAAGCTTCTGTACATTTTGAATACATTTCATCGAGTCAGTTTAAATGAAAATCTTTTGTTTTCTGTACATATCCTTGACAATGATTTTTAATAAATCGAAACGTTGGAAATTAAAAATGATTAACACCGACGCTTTAGTTATACTTTTCTTAATAAAATGTTTTTTTTAAATTGATCCAAAAGTGATTGAGTTATAAGCCGAAAACTGAGCGAGGTTCGCCGAACATAACGATGTCTCTGAGTATAAACTTAAAACTTCATGACATGGTTATGTTATGTTCTTTTTTACTTTTTTCCGTGGTCTCGCTCAAAGCAAGCGTGTATTTTATACTCAAAGTGTATATTCTTCTTCACACCGCTACCTAACGAAATAAGAAAGAAAAAAAAAGAAAATCGATATTTGTCGCAGTTATATTGCCTAATGGAGAAAATGTATATTGGTCACCAAAAAAGATTGTTTTGATCACCAAATCAATTAAAGAAAATATATATGAGAAGAATATATAGCAATTAATTAGCAATGATTACCAGTTAATGAGTAGACAGACAAGAAAAAGAATATAAACAAAGTATATAGAAGAAGAAATATTAGCAGAACAGCAGTTTAATTTCAACGGTTGAAGTTTTCTGAAATTTTTGTCAATTCAGAAATGGTTATAAATAACTACCCTAGCCTGTACATGATACCATCAACAAAAATGTCGAAGCAAGAATGGAACGTTTTGTGCACAGCCCAATCTTATGACGGAGCAAAAGAATTATCCAAATCCCAATACAACGTATGTCAATGTCGTCGATCAGATTTGAAGAATCGTACTAAGTATTCATTCAAATGCGGTGAGTACAGAAGATACCTGTTATTTTTTATGAAATTCAGGTAATCGTACCAGACCGATGTACAATCAGTAACAGTTATGCCAAGAGGTGTACATGAACGTAAAGAAGAGGAACGTAATACAACCACACGCTTACAATAACCAG